TCATATTAGATACATCCTTTAAATTGACACAATTTGATTACATAAACAGTCATAATATTTGTAATCAAAAGGTTCTTTAAATTTTAGTAAACCTGATTTAAAGGAGTTTAAGTTGCAATACCAAATGTTATCAGAAACATTAATAAAAACTATTTTGCTCCAGCAACTTTAAAGCCACTACAAATGATTAGTCAAGTTTTATTTGATCAATTGTTTTTGTCTCACTTATATCAAATTTTGCATTCAAAATTACTATAATATTTAAATGTATTCATGTCTAGTAAATTATTATACAAATTATCAAATTTGAATGATAGAATATTATATATGCTCCCCTGCCTTGCAATTATTTTTTATTCATTGATTTCAAAACCAGTTCCTTATGAATATTTTAAAACTTACTAGGGAATCCTAAGTGAAAATTTTTATCTTTAAATTTGATAAGTCAAATTACTCTTATATTCAAAAAAGATATTCCAAACAATATAATAAAATGGATTAACTTTTTGAATCATTTAAGTGTTTTCTTTTTTCAAGTTTTTAAATTTTTTTATTTATTTTTATAATTTGCTCAAAACTGCAAATATGTTAGTCATTGAACTTTTTACAGCATGTTATAATTTTTTGTGATAAAATTTGAATTTAGTGTAAATACATTTTTTTTTATACAATTAAATAGGTTTTAGAATCTTATTTAAAATATATCACAGAAATAAATACCATAAGTAAAATAACCATAAAAGAGTACCAAGTATCTAATTTTTTAAACTGGATTATAGTATTTGCACTTATACTTAAGTTTACCAAAATTGTATATTTGTTATTAGAAATTAAATCAATTTGATGTTAAAGGTTAGTGTGTACTTAATACAGTAAGTAATTTAAATAATATTTATCTAAATTCACAATACAAAGTCAATGTTTAAGATACGTTTCTAAAAAATTCATATAGTGTTATTAGCTAGTTTTTCATGAACAATGTTGATTATTTGTATCAATGAAAAACAATTTAAGCTCAGGCCACTTCGGATAAAAAATAAATCATTCCAATAAATTCAAATTTTATTTATATAGTTTAGTAGGTTTTGAACTGAATATATAGTCAATGCATAAATACAATTAAAACAACCATGTACTTACTACTAAATATATATTTGTACCTATGTTATTTTTTCCTTAAAAAAATTAGATTGGAAATTTATTTGAAGCTTAGTAAACATTGAAAAATTCCTAATACCTTGTATAACTGTAAAATGTGTGTTAATTATTTAATTATTTTATATATTATCTTTAATTTGATTGCATAGTAAATTTGTAACAATTTGAATTGGAAATACTGTTGTCCAGTTAATTTTGTCTAAGCGAATTAAAATATCACTAGTGAATGTGAATTTGGTTATAGAAAAGGTATGTGATATAGTATTTATAGAACTGTACAATGTCACTTTATTTATGCTAAAAGGTATGTTAGGTATTTAAATTATTTTGTATGTTTTTAACTACTTTTCATTTGATAACATATAATGAAAGTTCTTATCATTCTTGATTTTTTTTGACAATAATAAATTATTGATAATCATTATTATCTATGTAATATTATTAACTTTATTTTATTTATCGTAACATTACATTTTAATTTACTTCTCATTTAGGTTTTGACCTCAACTTCAGTTTAATGTATTTTATTACTACGTACCTTATTTTAATATGTATAGAATAAAGGTATTGTGAGATTAGGTAGTCTACTCATGACAATCAGTGTTTTTAACAGTTAAATTTAATATATCGTATAAGTAATTTATTATAGCGTCTAGTGATCATATTCCATGTTTAGTGTTCACACGCTCAAACATTGCACTTCTATCTGACTACATTAACTACCCTAAAATACTCCGTAATCTAATTATTAATAACATTACACCAACAAATGAAAAAAACAAATTAGATAATTTATTTACTACAAAGTATAAGTATGTTCATCGTCCATACTTAAATATTTTGAGTATTTTTTTCGATTCTATTGATTATGAAAATGTCTTGTCTACCAATCATTCGATTATGCTCATCACTATACTTAAGTTCAATTATAACTAGATAAACTTACTTAATTTATTTACTTTAATTTTATCACAACAAAACTTTTCAATTGTAATTTAAACATAATACATATATATTACACAGAAAATAAAGACAAGTATCACATTTTTAAAACAAACTAAACTTACACAGTGTCAATAATTACTGAATATTAATATCTGTTTAATTATTAATTTTATCTGTTTCAAGTGATACTTATTTTGAAGTTATACATTAGTTATATTTTCTTTTTTCTTATAAAACTCAACTCCAGCAGAATTAAAAATTCTTAAACAACTTTCATATGTTTTGCAATTTTATGGCTATATCAGGTACAATTTACATATATATTTTTTTATTAACTTGTTAAAATACTACCATTTAGTTTTAATCAATTATTGTTATTTCATTTTGAAACAAATAACCTAACCACACTTTAGTTCTAAGGCGAACTCAACTAGTCAGAATAATATCTAAATTAACATATTTATAATTAAAAATATAATTTTTGTTAATTTGAAATTAAATTATTTCAACAATAATCAAATCCCTTTGATATCAAAAGATATGGCAGTGTCAACTAATATGAAATTAGTTGATATGCTAACACTGAATTTAGTTTTTAATAATTTTTTTTAAATGTTTAATGATAATGAACCAATATATTATAGGCATATCATAAGCTATTTAATAATAAATTAGGTACCTCTATGAGTTCTTTAAATTTATTTAGAGACAACCGTTGAAACCTGTCAATGCTACAAGTAAGAAAAAATTGCTTAAAATTACTTGCTAAAAGATAATTAACCATTTATACACATAAATTATTTCCTTTATTTTTTATTATCATACATATTATGTTTTATTTTTAGATTTCAAAAATATACAACTTGCACAAAAACTGTCAGATAGCTTCAGTTTTAATACCAAAATTTAAACTTAACATATAAACAAATAAATACTAACTAAATTAAAATTAAAACATTTTTGGCCTTTAAGATATAACTGAAATATAAATAAGTTTTAAAAGAACAATATTATTAAGTTATACATCAAAAAAAAAAAAAAATTGCCATTTGATGAGTCTTTCATTAGTAACATTTAAATATTTAATAATTTATGAATCAATAATTTTATCTTAAAGTATAGTGCCACATAAAATAATTGAAGTCATTTACAATAGGATTTAATATAAAATTTAAGTCTTTTTTTGAATACATATAATCTTTATCCGTATTGTAATAGTTAAATACTATTTTACACTTCAGGATATGAATATTATCCTTCTAAAAAGTCAATCAGAGCTTGTGGGCACACTACATAAGCCTCTTCAGATGGAATTACCTCAATTTCATCAATTCCTCTCCACTTTACTCTAATAAACCACTCGCCAGTAGCAGTAACAACTACACCAGTAACTTTTTCTGGTACCTTTTCGGGGGCAGCTGAAGGAACGGAAATATCATTTTCTTCTTTAATTGATAAACTTTGTTCTTCAACCTTTTCGGTTCTTTGAAGATCAATAGATGGACCAGGATTTGGCGATACACGACTTGTAACGTTTGAATCGGATAACGATCGTTTAAGGAAACGCTCTAGTTGTTCCTTTTTTCTTAATTTTTCGTTAATTTTTAACCAATTCTTCAAAATTAAGATTTTTTTTAGGTTCCCATGTGAATCACTGTAACCAACCCACTTAAGAAAATATTCCACCTTGCCCCTATTTGTACGTTTATTTAAAATTTTTTCGACAGCATATTCCTCTTCTTGTTTTTTATTTTTTTTTAATCTGGAATAAAATACATCAATAAGTTGATAATAATATATACAAATAGATTTATTATTTATTAATATAAATATCACTGAAATAACACAAACAACTAACAACAAGGTTACGTTTTTTTTTATAAATTTAACTTGTATAAACGCATTAGTCCACACAAGCATTAAAATCATACATACATTTTCTTATTTTAAAATAAAAACAGTTAAAAAAAAACACAGTAAGTATTTATTAACGTCAAATAATTACTAATAGACATGTTTTTACTTGTTTTTTTTTCTCTTAGTTATATCAGATTTCAAAAATGGATGGATTTGTTATTAAAAACAAGAAAAGAAATCATCAAGATATCGAAGAAACTGAGGATAATTTATAAAATATGCAATCGATCATAGCTGAGTCAAAATTTAAATATTTGATGAATTTTATAAACTTATATCCAATCAATGGTTCAAAATTAACAGCATTGTACTAAAATTGCCCAAAAGTGATCCACAAGTTCAAGTGGAAATTTGTTAAGCCATATTAAAGTAAGATTAATTTATCAATGTTTATAAATACTAAAACATTTAAAACTGAGTTATAAGTATTTAAATTATTTGATATTTACAGCACAAATATCATACGTTGATTTCTAAAGTGAATAACGCAATGCAAAATAATAAAGAAACATCTGCTCAAATTAAAATGTATGATGTACATGCCAAAAAGTTTCCAAGGAAAAGGTAATTTGATGCACAGGCTTTTTTTTTTATTAATTTGCGTGTTATTAATGTTGTAATATAGATGTTTAATTAGATTTATGTAAGTGTAAATATTTATTTTTATTTTTATTAATTATACTATTGTTATATTAATAGTCACTTCCCACTCATAAATACTTGCTTGACATGGATAACATTAAGTACAAAAGTCATATTATTTATGTATAATTTGCTTAAATGAAACAAAACAATAAACATTTTAAACTTAATAATATAATATATGCTACTAATATTTTTATTATTATATATTATGATCATATAGCTCTATAATAAAAAATAATTTTAATTGGATATTAAGAAAAAACTATTTTTTAAGATTTATTTGACAATTTTTTTTAAACTTATTGTACCTATCGATTATCACATATGGTTAAGTTAATGTTTAAATAAAATTATTAAATCAATATGATAATTTATTTTAATAAAAGTATTTTATTGAAGTAATTATTTATTTTGCATGTTGAAAAGTTTAATTTCCATCTCAAACTTGGATAGATGAATTTAATAAATAGTTTGTTTGTTAACATAATTTTATTTTATTTAAACCATGTTTATGCTATTTTCTTAAAACTATATTCTAATATGAAATATTTAAATAAAACTAATGCTGATTGCTCTCATGTTGTTTAATAATATAAACAATAAAATATGTGCTTTTAATGTATTTATTATTATTATGTTCTCAGATTAGTAAATTAGTATTTAATTATATCCTAGATAAAATGCGGCCACTTGTCACTTGCGAAAAAAAAAGTTATGATAGAAAATCATATGTTCTTGGCTGTCAACGAGTTAAATGAGTTCATGATTATTTAAATATTATGGAAGTATTAACAGAAATGATGGAGAAATTCAAAATAGATGTATCAAAAATTACACACATGGTAACAGATAACCCAAGCAACTTTGGTAAATCATTTAAAATATTTTCATCATCATTATTATCTGTCAGACACCAAACAAGTTTGCCAATTATTGGAAATTTTCACGAAGAAGACGATTTAACTAGCTGTAACTTTGACATTGAAATAGACAGTGATGAATCAGATATAGAAGTAGTCAATATGGAATCAATGTTTTTAAACATGAATAATACTGAGAAAGACAATGATAAGATGTGTTTACCACCACATATGAGATGTTGTGTACATACGCTAAGTTTAATTGCAACATGTGATGTTTCAAAAATTTCAAATGTCAATCATGTTAAAATTTCAAAATCTACATTTAATAAATTATTTAATTTTTGGAATCTTGTTAACAGAAGCACAGTGGCTTCAAATTAAGTTTTTGAAACTTGTGGATGTAAGTTTCCTGTTCCTATAATTACAAGATGGAATTCTTTATATGATGTAGCTCAAAAAATCTTAAGTCACAAACATAAATTAATTTCAACATTTAGTGAACTAAATTTGGCAAAGTTAAAAGTAAATGAATGGGTGTTCTTAGAAGAATATTGCAAAATAATGCAGCTGTTAACCATATCTTTGGATAAATTGTAAAGCGAAAAAAAATGTTTTTTGAGTTTTGTTGCACCAACTATCCTAGTATTAAGACGTTTATTAATTCACTCCTCAACAGAAGTAAAATATTGTAAACCACTTAGTATTGCCATAATTTCTGGTTTGGAGAAAATATTTTCTTATATATTTGATTTAAGTACTCCAAAAATTAAAGACTTTATTACTACTTCTATTAGTGTTTATTATATGTATTGCGTATTTCATTAAGGACTACACAGGCGAGAATAAGACA